AAAAAAAAAAAGAAAAGAAAAAAGAAAGAAAGAAAGAAAGAAAGAAAGAAAGAAAGAAAGAAAGAAAGAGAAAGAAAGAGAGAAAGAAAACACCAATCAACAAAAGCTTCTTTGAGACATTATTCATTAACAGGTTTAACTTTTCAGTATTACTCTTTGAACTATTTTAACAAACTAAGGACACCCATAAAATAACAGGAAAAGAGAAAATAGCTCAAATATCTATTAACTCATGAATAGACAAACATATGTATAACCATACATGGAATATTGTTCAACAACAATAAAAAAGGAAGGAAGTATTAATATTGAAGCATAGGAGAAACCTAGGCCAAGCCAGGTGCCAGCAATAGTCCCAGCTGCTTGGAAGACTGAGGCAAGAGGATCATTTGAGCTCAGGAGTTCAGGGTCAGCCTGGGTAAGGTAGAGAGACCATGTCTCTTAAAATAACAATAATAACAATATGCTAAGTCAAAGAAGCCAGATAGGGGCTCTGGGGAGATAGCTCAGTGGTCTAAGCATCTGCCTGGTAAGTGTAAGGACCTGGGTTCAATCCCCAGTACCACATGCTATGCCAGCCACAGAACCCCAGGCACGCCTTGCCGGCCCCTGAAACTGGGCATGGTGGCGCACACCTGTAATCCTAGTGCTGGGGAGGCTGAGATAGGAGGATCACTACAAGTTCAGGTTGTATATATAAATACAAGATTTTTTTTTTTTTTTTAAATTTAGTACAGGGTCTCACTGCACAAATCAAATTCCTAGTGATTCTCCTGTTTTCAGTCTCCCAAGCACTGGGATTCCAGGCACGCACCACCATCCCCAGTCTCAATTGCAGTCTCAGCGCACCTCAGGGGCAGGGCTAGTACACTGTATCCTGCCTAAACATTCGCTGTGCCAAAACCAGTTGCTGTGTCTGCCTAAACAGGTGCTTTAATCTGCTGAGCTATCTGGCCAGCCCGAAGATTTTTAGAGTTGTTTTGTTTTTTTTGTTTTTTTTTAAAGAAGCCAGACAGTAAATTGCATAAAATGTCCAGAATAAGCAAATCAAGAAATACAGAGATGTGCTAATGTTGCCAGGGCCCAGTAAATGGGAGCAATTAACAGGTACAAGCTTTCTTCTGTGGGTATTAAAGATGTTCTAAATTTAGTTGTGATGGCTGCCCCACTACAAATATACCAAACTCTACTGACCTTGTCACTTTGCATCAGTAAGTTTATGTGATGTGAATCATACTTCAATAAAGATGTTGGAAAAGAATGCAACGAGGCACTCCTGAAAGCAATACTGTTGAAGGTTCAGAACAGTATGTACAGTGAATGGCTCCTTATATAAAACACAAATACGTAGGCAAACATTTGGTTGTCCATACATAAATATCTTGGATTTCACTATATATGCTTTTCAGATCTTTTGGAACTCCAAGTCATGTGAGTGTATTGCCTATTAAATGAAAATCATTACACAAATAATTTCCCTATCATCCTAATTATGCATGCCTGCGCTTCTTGGGTGTACATGGGCATGTTGTGAGACACATACAAACGTGGGAGCTGACAGCAGTGTCGAGGACGCAGTTGCCGAGTTTGGTTGCCCCAGTGTATGGATAAGAACAAGTGAGAGTAAAATTCTGAGCCATCACAGGTCAGGCCTACAATTTCTACCATGGGTGAACTTTTATTTATTATGGTTTCCTTTAAAGTGATTCAACCTTTTAAACTAAGCTATGATGTTCATGAAACATAGATTTAGGAGCTGGGGAGATAGCTCAGCTGCGTAAGCACCTGCCTGGCAAGCGCAAGGTCCTGAGTTCAATCCCTAGTACTGCAAAAATAAACAAATAAATGATAAAAATAGAATTATTCCATGAAACTCAATTTGGGAAATACTTCATAATGGTAAGAGCATTTACCTGACACACAGGAGACCTGGATTTTCACCCTCAGCACTCAGTAAATGCTGTTTATCTCCACTGCCTTTCTTATGGAATTTTTTGTGATTTTATATTTCATCTTTGTATAGGGGCCATGCAAATCTTCCCTGTATTGTTCCAATTTTAGTGTATGTGCTACTTCTTAAGTAAGCACATAAATGCTGTTTCTTATGGAGTGAATTCTTTCACCTCTCTTAAACTCAGCTTCATCTGCATGAGACAATGAGGCTAACCACCTAGCGAGCCACTTGAGTGTCCTGACCCCAGGTCCAGGGAAGGTCTGTGCTCACTCCAGGTTCACCACCATCAACAGGTGGCCAGTGTTTCCACCGCCCCTGTGATATCTCCTGTGATGATTTTTCTCCCTACAGAAGAAACTTTCAGTTTTAATAAATATGCTCAAGGCTACACTTACAGATAAGAAAAACTTCTAGGCCCAAATAGGTATCAGTGGTGTTACTGCTGCTACAAAAACACTGCCCCACACATTTTTAAACTTAAAGAACAAGGAACTCAGGGCCAGGGAGATGGCTCAGTAGAATAAGCGCTTGCCTGGCAAGCCCAAGTGTCTGAGTTCAATCCCCGGTTCCGCAAAAAAAAAAAAAAAAAAAAAAAAAAAAAAAAAAAAAAAAAGAAAGAAAGAACAAGGAACTCCTGGGATGATTTTAAACTTTACTTATAACTACAAGCTATAACATAAATCACCTTCATGAAATGGCAGTTGATACTTAGCAGTTAAACACAAGAAATTTATTTCAAGGAAAGTAAGTAAAGATGCAGCCCATGTACATAAACAAGAATAATCCTAACAAGCTGGGTGTGGTAGCAGACATGGTAGTACAGGGCTATAATTCAGGCACTCAGGAAGCTGAGGTAGGAGGATGGATCACTGTGAGTTTGAGGCCAGCCTGAACTACATAGCATACCCCTGTCTTAAAAAACCAAAAGAGGGCCAGGGAGATGGCTCAGTGGAATAAGTGCTTCCCTGGTAAGCGCAAGGGCCTGAGATCAATCCCTGGTTCCGCAAAAAAAAAAAAAAAAAAACCAAAAGAAAGGGGAAAAAAAGTCATAATAGTATTCATTATAGCAAAGAATGGCTAACAATATAAATGTCCAATAATGGGAAAAATATTTAAGAACTTGCTACCTTGGTGAAATTAAGTATTTTAAAGACTGTTTACTAATGTGTGAATATACCCACAATAAATATGAATACAGTATCCAAATATAATAATATTACCAATACAAATGGAACACAGAGGAAAAAGAGAAAGAAATAATAAAAGAGGCAGGCAGGGTGGCAATCCCTATAATCCTAACACATAGGGAGGCTGAGGCAGCAGGATCACAAATTCAAGCCCAGTGTAAACAATTTAGTAAGACTCTGCTTCAAAACTTTTTTATAAAGGGATATAGATGTAACTCAATGGTAGAATATCCCAAGTGGATCTCAATCAGTCAAAAGCATATAAGGGTTGGAGCTCCAGTACTGCACTAGATAGATAATGACAAGTTAATTATAATTGTATGTATAATAAGCCATAGTTGTGGAAGATCTTAATTTTATTTTTTTTTAAATTCTCATGGTATTTTTCTTTATAATAAGTATGTATTTTTAGTATCAGAAAACATGAAGTAAGCCAGGTGTAGTGGTGCACACTCTAATCGCAACACCCAGACCCTGAGACAGAATCACCATGAGTTAAGGCCAGCCTGGGCTACAGAGCGAGATCCTGCCTCAAAAAGCAGCATGAGCTGGGCAGGATGGCACATGCCTGTAATACCAGCACTTGAGAGGCTGAGGCAGGAGGATCGCTGCAAACTCAAAGCCAGCCAAAACTGCATAGTGAGACCCTGTCTCAAAAAGATTTAAAAAAAAAAAAAAAAAGACTGTGCCAGATGTTGTTCTGAAAAAAAAAAAAAGTGACAACAGATTATTCTTATTTATAAAAATCAACAGGTTATTAACATCTGTCATAACACCTTCACAACACCATTTCTGTCTTTCTTGCTAAAGAATGGCCTGTACTTCACTGAAGAGCTCTACTGAGGGTCCCCGCCGCTCCAGCTCAGCTGCTTGGGCACCAGCTGGGTGAGTCAGGCACGATGCGAGCTGTCCTAGGGCTGACCAAGGACTTCTGTGTGCCCTGTGGAACTTGCCCTAGCTGAGTGGAGCCCAACCCCCTTCATGTGCACACTTTGAACTCTGACCCTGCAGATGTTTCTCTCGTGACATTCTAATTCTCTCGGCCTGAATTTTTAACTTTTTAAAAGAACTATCATTCTTTATTAAAGAGCTTCCCCAGACGCCAGAATGGGCGTGCACTTCTGACAGCCTCTCAGCGCTTCTTCTCTCTTTGCCAATCCCTCTTTCTCTCCTTCCACACCCCACTGAACTAGGGGTCTTCACTCTAAGTCCTATCTCCAGCCCTCTCTCCTCGCTTCTTCTCTCCCCTCTTCTCTTTCTTTTGAGACAGGGCCTGTTTACTTTGCTAAATTGTCCAGGTTGGGCTCACAGTTGTAATCCCATTGCCTCAGCCTCCCAGAGTGCTGGAATTACAAGCTTGCACCACCATGCCTGGCTTTTTTGAGACAGGTTCTCACCAGCATGTGGCCAGGCTGACCTTCAAATGCTGCTCCTCCTGAGCAGCTGAGATTATATACATAAACCGCTTCTGAACAGCAAGAATGTCAGGAAATAAGCCAGGAGCACTGTTTCTTCCTGTCTGGGGTTTATTTTAAGTTTATTTAATTGGCCTTTCAATTTATTTTTTAAAAATATTCTGTGTTTTCATAAATCACTCAACACTTTCCTCAAGGTGCTCCCTTACCACATAGCTATGCTTCCTTGCTCAGTGATTTTTCTGTCAGTTCTTTAAGGGTTGCTACGCCACTGTATTCTGGATAACCTCACACCAGCCAGCCACAGCCTGCAGTCCTAAGCACTGTTTTTACCTATTTAAATATATTGCAGCAAGGACAATTAGTAAGATAGTCAATTTGCCTTTCTGGTAATATAGAATTAATAAAACACTTGATTAGTTTTGAAGGTCAGTGTAAGCTGGTCCTGGGGTGCGTCCCTGCAGTTCCAGCACTCTAGAAGACAGAGGCAGGAGGATCACACACTGGGGATGTCGCTTTGTGCAGGCCCCAAGTTCAATCCCAGTACCAGAGAGGAAAAAAAGCATCAGAAATCAAAGTAATGTAACAGAGATCCTAGGTGCTCAAACAAATAACTCCTAGGGGCAAAAATTCTGTGTAGACTTTTTTTCCCCCTTTCATTTGGATGTCAGTATTTTTAAAACAGATTAAAAAGTCACCTGAAAATAACCTCACATGCCCACCAAGAAGGGATTGGTTCAGTAAATACAGTATATGATGCAAACAGAAGTCTACTCTAACAAATGAAATGGATTTCTACATCTCCATGTGGAAAGACATCCCAGATATCTTGCAACTCAGCACAAAATCTAGTCAACACATTATAATGAGTGAATTTGTGATCTTCTGTAAATTGTTTTAAGAAGGCAATTTTTTAAAAGCCAACATCAGGAAGCCCCTCCCCCCACCAGGGAAAACAGACTGGTACAGAGTACATGATTACTTATTACATAAAAGATACACATATATGTGCTTATACCTAATTAAACACTGCTAGAAGGAAACTTTGTTCCTCTGAAGAATAGGACTGAAGCAGGCCATGAGAGAAAGCTTAGCCACCCCTCCCACCCGCATTCAAAACAGTCTCACTAAATCACAAATTGCCCAGGCTGGGCTCAAATTCGAGACCCTTCTGCCTCAGCCTCCCTGGGTGCTGGGATACATACAGGGTTGCAACTATCAGGTTGGGTTTTTTCCCCCTTTCCACACCCCCTTGTACAGGCATTTCTATGTAATTAAACTTAAAAATGTTTTTGGACATAAAGGTCAATACTTGGGGGGTGGGGGGAGGGGCTTCCTGATGTTGGCTTTTAAGAAAATTGCCTTCTTAAAACAATTTACAGAAGATCACAAATTCACTCATTATAATGTGTTGACTAGATTTTGTGCTGAGTTGCAAGAATTTGGCATGGGAAACGAAACAATGTTTCAAGTAACACACACAAAAACAACTTTCGCGGCTAAGAACTCTCTGGAAGTATCAAAACCTAAGCCAATTTTGTGACTGCAACAAGGGTAAATATTCGGCCTTGAGATCACGAGCGAAAGGTCAGAGCTGCAAGCGCCTGAGCTTAACCCGAGCCGGGAACAACCTAGGGAAAGACCGCGCGACCCCCACGCCGAGGCCGCCGCCGGCCGGGGAAAGCCGCGGCTCGCGCGAGGACCCGGCAGCGGCGACCAGCTGGGCGCCTCCCACGCGAAGCCCAGCGGCCCGGCGGCCAGCTCCTCTCCCCGCGGCCGCCCCAGGCCCGGCGGGCGGTGAGGGGGAAACGCGGCCCGCGCCCACCTGTGCCCTGCAGCATGTTGTGCCGCAGCAGGTCGCCGCTGGAGAGGTGCTTGAGCTCGAAGTGCTGCAGGATGCGCGCCGACACGGTGCCCTTGCCCGAGCCCGGCGCGCCCATGATCACGGCGCGCAGCAGCCGCGCGGACGCCCCCATGGCCCTCGCAGGCCTCGGCCTGGCCGCCGCGCCC